GGGCATCCACTCTAGGCTCCCACCTCCTCAGTCATTACCTCACGTTTCCTACTGTTCTCTCTCTCTCTCTCTCTCTCTCTCTCTCACCTCCCCTCCCCTCCCGGGTTTTTCCCAGGCTGCACAGTTCCCTGTCTACATTGTGAATTCTCCAGCAAGCCAGACTGCCTAAGCATGCCTGTTTTGCTGAGAGGCTAAAATAGTGTAATTGTCAATAGGTATAAGTTACCACACATCTTTTTGTAAGCAGGCACACGTATTCTTAAAGTGAAAGCATTACAGAGAAAACATACTAGCAACAATAGAAGAACCTCCTTGCATGCAAATAAGCTTAGCAGACATCACTCCAGTTCCAACAAGGACTCTGGCAGTTGATCAGTCCTCCTATCAAGCGTTTCTTCCATGGTCACAAGTTCATAACAGCTGCTAGCTCAGAACAAGCACCTTTATCAATCTGTGAGTCCTTCCTTTAAACAGCTAGGGGCTCTGGTCTGATCCTCAGCTGATCAGCAGGCAAAAGTCCCCTCCTCGGGGCGAACGGTCAAAAGTCTGAGTTCTTGCAGAACCGGAGGTGTACATTGTTTCAAATAGTCCTTTGAAGCTCATAATGCTTCCCAACTTTTTTACATTAGTCATGTTTCCCCTCCCCGCCCCCCCCCCGCGAGACATCCTACAATAATACGTAAAAATCTGCATTTTTAATACAACAAATTCCTAAAATACTTAAACTTAATTCAATAAGATTTGTCCAGGATACTGCAGGAAATTGCCATGGAGGTAACTCATTTTAAGAAAGGAAACAAAGAAGAGAACCTGACAGCTGAGGAAGAAAAGGACCATACAGAAGAAAAAGATGAACCTTGTAAATAGATGGGTTGGATGGAATCTGCAAATAAGGACTTGTCCACAGTACTACTGAAATAATATAGCGATCACTGTGTTTAAACATGGTGATTGCTTCCAAGGTTCTAGTATGGTATCCTTGGACATTGGAGAGGGATAGAAGGATATTATTCAAGTCATGCTAACCAAATCATCCAATATATAATCTTCTGCTTGATTTTGTAGCATGCCTGTCAGGAAAAAAGACAGACCAAACTGTTTAGAGAATACGTGTTAGAAATGTTCTAGCACCAGGGCCGGCTCTGGCTTTTTTGCCACCCCAGGCCGCCTCCCTCCCGCCCCCCCAAGCAGCAGGGGAGGGCACCGAGCCCGGCCGCAGGCTGCTCTCCCTGACCGGCCAGAGTCCCGGGGGGAGGGCGGCGAGCCTGCCGCGGCTCCGCTGGCAGCCGGAGCCCCAGGAGGAGGGCGGAGAGCCCGGCCGGGGCTCCGCTCTCCCCGGCAGCCAGAGCGCCAGGAAGAGGCCGGAGAGCCCAGCCGGGGCTCCGCTCTCCCCGGCGGCCGGAGCCGGAGCACCACGCCGCCCCCCTCCAGGTGCCGCCCCAAGCACAAGCTTGGTGGGCTGGTGCCTGGAGCCGGCCCTGTCTAGCACAAGCTCAATTGTGAGAGAGGGCCAGAGTAAGAGTGGGACTTTAGATAGAGAAAGTCCAGTTCCAAAGTGTATAATCTGCCCAGCCTAAGAAGAGATATGTAATAAAGAATCATGTTTGTATTTCATCCCAGAAGATGTAAACTGATCCGTTTGGCTTGAAAAAAACATCTTTTGGGGATTCTGAATAAAAATGAATTTGAGATACACTCTACCCTGATATAACATCACCCGATATAACATGAATTTGGATATAACGCAGTAAAGCAGCGCTCTGGGGGGCGGGACTGCGCGCTCCGGCAGATCAGCGCGTCAGCATGTCTGGCTCCGACATGCTGCTCTGAGCGGCGTGTTAAGGGTGCCGGGCTGGGGCCGAGGGGTTCGATAAGGGGCAGAGGGTCTTGGGGGGTGGTCAGGGGACAGGGAGCAGGGGGGATCCACAGCCCGAGGAGGGGAGCTGCAGTCCAGGGGAACGTCACACGCGCTCCAGCCGGCACTGAGAAGTTGGGGAGGACTGGTCCACTTGGGGATGTTGTGGATCCAGGGCAGGGAGAGGTGCCCATCATTGACGGAACCATGCAGGTGCCCCTGTCCCGGTGCTGGAGGGCTCGGCACACAGTGGGCCCTGCTGGCAGGCTGTGTCCCACTCACAGCAGAGCCGAGCGGGCTCTCCGGGTCCATAGTGCGCCACACTACCTGCCCGCAGTCAGGGGCTCCGTGCGCCCCGGCAGACAGCTGGCTGCGATGTCCTCACTGGAGATGGGCTGCACGGGGCTCTACGCAGGAGGAGAGATGGGCTGAGTGCAGGCACGCATGGCAGGAGCCGCCTGCCAATGGCTCACCCTCCCCTGGCACCACGTGGGCACGGGGCAGGGACTAGGCGCACACGGGCACCTCGGGTGAGGCTGCCCACCCTGCTCCCCCTCGCAGGCTCAGCCGCCGCGCCGGGCTGGGCACACTTTGTGAACAGGGCAGCGGCCGCCAGGCCAGTTCCCCCTGCCCCACCCCCACGGGGCTCACCCCAGCTGATGTGGTCGAGCAGGTGTGAGCACTTCCATGCACCGGCTCCCCGGGTCCTAGCACAAGTCCCGGTGCGGCGCGTGGCTAATCGTGGGAGTCCTGGGGGTGATTAGGGATGTGGGGGTTGGATGGGTCAGCGGTTCTGAGGGGTCAGTCGGGGGCGAGAAGTAGGTGAGGGTCAGATGGGGGCGGGGCTATTTGCTGACTATTAATAATGGAGACGCTCGAGGCCAAAGCAAGTTCAATATAACACGGTTTCACCTATAACATGGTAAGATTTTTTGGCTCCCGAGGACCACGTTAAATCAGGGTAGAGGTGTACATTCTCAAATGTTCCACCAAACAGAGTATTTTAAAAGAATTCTAAGATCTTGCCAAATCCTGCAGTTGCCTGAGTTCTCCCATCCATAACTAGCAATTCTGCCCTGCCTCTTCCCTTAACTCTGGAAAAAATCATGCTTTATTTGCAATTATTCACTTTCAGATTTATTTGTATCCATATATTGAGCCAGATTTTGATCTCAGTTACACCAATTTGAACTGCTTTGGTGAGTTCCTCTATTCTGGTATGATTGAGATCAGAATCTGGCCCAGTATATTTAAATGACTGAGCAATGTGAACAACAATTATTGTTCTTAATTGATCTATGTTGCATATGTATGGCTGAATAACAGGGAATAGAAGCCTCCTCCTTTTTGTGAGATTATGAACCATAATAAACAAAAACTACCTCAGACACCACAATATCTATCTCACTCACAATCAAGTTCTTTCTTACAGTTATCTCACCTCACAATTGCTAATCTAAACACAAAAGCAGATGTGCACCATTTCATTTTTATGCTCATTAGTCTGCATTTTGTTGCACAGCAAACGTGATTTAACAAAACAAGCCAAAGAACAGGAAGCTCTTTTCAGTGTACGGGTATAAATGTCTTACTGCCACATTTCAACAATAATTCAGTAATTCCTCTGTGAGTGGCATTTTTGTTCTGGAGAGTCAAATCTGAATGTAAAGCTTCATTAAGGACAGCCAAAGACTGGTGGAACCAGTTCTAGTGATGAAGCTTTCCAGCCTAATACTCTTTATTTATGGCTGTTGTAAAATAAAATTA